ACCGCAGCGATGGGGATAGATGACGAAAGGTCGGTAGAGATCGCGCATCGGTGGAGAGAGATGGAGAGAGGACGCGCAACAATGGTTAGCGATGCCGCAGCGATGGAGAGAGAAGGCACAGCGATGACCAAAATTTGTTATTGCACAACATCAGTTTCATCGAGTTAATTCTTCGTTAAGCATACCTGTCACCTCTTTTGTGCGATTCCACAGTGATGGGCGGCTGCACTGACAACGGCCTGAAACAACAATAAAATGGCGATGGCAGGATCGCCCACGAGTAATGGAGAGCCTCTGGGGCAAGGATGGAGGTTGCGAGGTTGTCGAGAGCGATCACGTAGTGATGGAGTGAGATGGAGAGTGATCACTTTGCGATGGAGGGAGATCGTGCGGCGATGGAGATAGAAATCGCTCAGCGCTGCGGTGGGATACCACTGGCCACGGCTTCGGTAGCCATGGCCAGCGCTGCGGTGGAGAGCGATGGCGCACCGGTGGAGAGCGATGGCGCGGCGATGGAACGCGTTACAATGCAGCAATGGCGATAGCGATGGCAGCGATGGAACAGCGATAGCAATTGTGCAGCGATGGCGCACCCGTGGAGAGCGATGGCGCAGCGATGGAACAGCCATAGCGATGGAACAGCGATAGCGATGGCGCAGCGATGGAACAGCGATAGCGAAGGCGGATAGCGATAGCGATGGCAGCGATAGCGATGGCACACCGATTGAGAGATGGCGCAACGATGGAACCAACGTTGAGATGGCAGTTATGGTACCAGCGCTCTGATGGCGCAGCGATGGCCAGTGATGCGATGAGAGCGATGGCGATTGTCAGCGCTGCGATGGTCACGCGAGCGTGACGGCTGCGATGGGGGATATAGCTTTGCGTCGCGATGGCGATGAGCTAAGTGCATCGATGGCGATGGTGCATGGCGAGCGTTGGCGATGGCGATGACATAAGCGCATCGATAACGATGGTGCATGGCTAAGCGCATCGATATCGAACGCCGTTGACATTTGCAAAATATCTGAATGACAGCGACACCGGAACTTATAGATTTTCGGTGTTTTTGACCTCGGCGCACAACGAATCGCCGTGCCTCGGTGGGAAATAAACCGTCGCCTGGCCTCGGCGCGCAACGAACCACCTCGGCGCACAACGAATCGCCGCACCTTATAGATTCTTGCGCCCGACCTCGTGCGTCGGATCATGCTGATCGACGGTCCAGATTACAACTGCGAAAATGGCATTGCCCGCCCCTTGTTTTCGGGAACTGTCACATCATTGCACGCCGGAGTAGACGGAGATTTTGGGGCCACTGGCATAACAGTGGCTTCGTTCATCTGCGCGGTTGAAAATTGTTGATTGACAGCTCACAATTTCCGGTACCCCTTACCGTTTATAGGCCCTGGCGTTTTATGGGCCCAGGGGTGCGATACACGAATCGATTCGGCCCCACATTGATGGCGTTTTATGGGCCCAGGGGTGCGATATGCGAATCGATTCGGCCCCACCTTGATCTTGACGGGAGGCCTGCTGCAACAAAGTATAAAAGGCGTTGCAGCCCTCGAGTTATCCCTTTTGTTGGTGCTCCACAAATCAAGTCGCGCTATCGCTTTTGCGCGCATTTTGATATTTGGTCTTCAGCCCCCCCCACCTTCCGCCATAGCCCGCTCACTCTTCGCTCTTCGCTCCGTCCGCAGTTGCCACATTGTGTTCAGTTCGTTCTTCACTCCTCGGTCTTCGCTCTTCCTAGCTCGATATCCCTCCACCATAGCTGGTTTGGTGGTTGGTTGCTCGCTCAACGCACGACGAAGGTAAAATCATATAACTTGAGTTGTCCTATTCTGTGTCCGACGTCCGTACACATTCCCAGATGCCCTGTCTGTACCTGCAGGATATAACGCCGTGCCGCGTTCTGTTGAACCCCGAATCAATTCCCGGTTTTATTGTTTCGCCAGTGGACGTGCTCTGATCTCTTTTCTCCACCCTCCACCTCCGTCCGCCATAGCCGATCTGCGTTCCGGAGCTTGATTACCTTTCACCATAGCCACGATAACGTTCGTATAAAGTTGCTCGATCCCCTTCGCAACTTGCAGTCGTCGCTGCGCATGGCGAACCTTTAATCAATACCTAGTTTCAACACTGAACACCGAATCAATTCCCGATTTTTGCTCACCTGTCCCTTGTGAGGTCGCCGACCTGATATCTACATATATATATATATATAAAGATATAGATACATATATGTATATATAGAGATATATTGCTACACTGAACACCGAATCAGTTCCCGATTTTCGCTCACCTGTCCCTTGTGAGGTCGCCGTCCTGAAGTTCTGTTTGTGACGATATATATATATATATATATATATATATATATATATATATATATATACATATATATAGAGAAATATATTGCGAGTCAGTTCACAGTTTGCGACGTACAGCGTTCGAGGAGTGACAACTGCGAGGTTATTTGCAGTTTTCCCAAGGTTAGACACATATTTCATTAAAGGCAGTTCTTTATTTCCACAAATGCAAGTTAGTTCGCACTTTTTTAGCAACACTGCTGGAGAGTTCACAACCCAACCCGTGCGGCTTTCAGGTCTTCAGTTCCACAATTCCGAGTAAGTTCGTACTTTCCCCTAGTGCTGCGCATCGCCATTATTGTCTTGTCTACAGAACTGCGAGTCAGTTCGCACTTGTCGAAACCCTTCGCAATTGTCGATAAACCAGGACTTCAGTTCCACAATTCGGAGTCAGTTCGTACTTTGCCGTTGTACTTCGGGTTGCAATTGTCGTCCTGTCAGCAGAACTGCGAGTTAGTTCTCACTTGTCGATTCGCACTTGTCGATAAACCACATCTTACTCGTTTCGTGCGTCTTTCAGGTCTTCAGTTCCACAATTCCGAGTTAGTTCGCGCTTTCCCCTAGTGCAGCGGGTTGCCATTGTTGTCTTGTCTACAGAACTGCGAGTTAGTTCGCACTTGTCGACACCCTTCGCACTTATCGATAAACCACATCTTACTCATTTCGAGGGCATCTAGTTGGGTCGCAATCTTTCCGAACAGTTTTCGTCTTCCCTCCGAACTTTTGTCTTTCCTATCCTTCTTCTGATTGTTGTGACTTCGTGTGCATTTCGAACACCCATCTCTTACGTCCTTTTCGTCCTCCATTTCGTTAAGTCCGAGTTAGTTCGCACTTCGCTTCTGTAGTGGTCTGGGGTTGGGCATATTAGTCATCCGAGTTGGTCTGAGGTTGGGCGTGCTAGTCAACGGGTGGGAATACAATGGCGTCCGCAAAGAACACATCCACAAACGCTGGACCATCTACCCCCGGGGAGGGACGACCTGTACAACAACCTACTCCTCTGTATATGCACGCAAAGGGAGCACAATGGTTTTTGGACTTCGTTGTTCAGGGGGACCTTTTTGGGCCACCTGTTTTCATGCGACCCACTTGCGTTACAGACGCTGGAGGAGCGGTCAACGTTGTTCCTCTCGGTATCGTCGTCTCGTGCGCGAAGACTCTTGGAGGTTTGCTCAAGCTGCACACTAACGGCTTGTACGACGAGTGCAGACTGTCTATCAGAGGTGTTAAAGGTGTGATAGTGACCATCAAGCGTTTCCCGGGGTATGGCTTGAACATGCCGTTGTGCTCTCATTTCAAAGGCCTTTACGATGGCGGCAGCAAGCGTCTTCCATCGCCAGAACAATATCTCGATCTCGCGCTGATGGTGCCGAAAGAACGTACGGTTCTTCCGCCAGAGCATGTTTTCCGGCTTCTGCCACCCCGTGAGGGGTCGTCCGGCTTGGCTCAAGAAACTCCAGGTACGACAGTGGGGCGCGGGAGTCCGATTCAAGACGCTGGGGGTCGGGTCAAGGGACGCAGCGTTCACACGTAGGTCGGCCCGGATGCTCCTGGGAACACGTCGGACTTGCATTCTCGGGGTACAGGTTCTCAACAGGTCAGTACTCCGAAAATTATCAAGGTTTGCTGCGGCGGCGTCACGTATTCGCTTCGAGATGAGGCGACAAGAGATTCAAGCAGATCGGGGCTAGATGTCAGAGGGAATGAGGCTGAAGGGATGGGCGCTGTCTGAGAAAGCTCTGGCGGGGAGCAGAATCCTTTGGAGAAGAAGAGCGAGTGACAGAGGATGGTGCGAGAGGAGGTGGCGGAAGGAACCCTCCGCATGAAGAGGATGAGAGGAAAATTGGAGGCGCTGATGGGCGGGGATGGAGGTGACATCGGAGAATGTGCCTTGGGAAAGAGGCCGCCGAAGGAAGAGGGTGGGACGACAAGTAAGAAAGCGAGGAGGCCCGGCGGTTTGACCATCCGCGAAGGACAAGCCATGGGTGGAGGAGTTTCGACTGATCCAGGCGCTGCGGCCGCGAGAGAACCTTCAGGGAAATCGAAACGGAAAGTGGCAGCTGAAGAAGGCGATGGCCAGAAGAAACCTCGAAGTCGGAAGACTGATGAGGCAGCGAGCGGGGCCGAACGGCCTGACAGGGAGGAGTGCGATGAAGCGGCAGCGTTCTAGCTCGAATACGAGCGGAACGATGGCGGTGAAATCGTGGAGAAGGAGCTCCCCGTCCAACTGCTCATTGACCCCAGGAAGGTCTGCGACATCCCGTCTTGGGAAAGATATTACAACCACCGCAGTCTCACTCGCGAAACTGTGGACGACATCAAGGCTGCGATGCTGAGTCAATTCCGCGAGAAAAGGGGGAAGATCTGGACGGAAAACCCTTTGGTTCTGGCACCCATCTACAAGTCGGTGACATGTAGGCCGGAGAAAGCTGACAGGGTTTACAAAGATGTCTTCAAGCCAGAGGACAAGGACAAGTACTACTATTACCCTGTTAACGGTCAACACACTGTGGCTGCTGTGAAGGAGTTGGAGGGTGAGCCAATATTCGATTTGTGGAAGATGCACTCATGGTCGGCGAGAGTAGTGTGGTTCTCCGACCGAGATTTCGCTGCGTGGCAGGTCAGTCTCAACGAGAACACGAGACACGAGATGTCTAAGCAGTGATCGCAGAAGGCTGCGTTCTTGGACATGCGGGAGGCATGGGAGAAAGAAGGAAGTCCGATGGTCATTCAAGGGAACCCTTCCGGCAAGGAGGCCAAAAAACGAAAGTTTTTCGAATTCCAAAAGCTGATTTTGGGAAAGAGTCTGAACGAATCTCACTGGGCGTTGGCAAAAAAAGATTTGTCGCTCGCCGACAAGGAGTATGCCGCTGCCGTTGGCAATGCATTGAGGCAGTGGATGCCGCTCGTGACGGCCGGTGATGACATTTTCCGCAAAGCCATGGAGTTCTACGCGAAATGGGCGGAGGGGAAGTTGTTGGGCGGCGACGGCAAGACGCCATTGTCGAGGCCGGGCAAATACATGCCAGACAAATCTCCGGGTCTGCAAGCAATTCCGGAAATGGGCTCGAAAGGGGCGGTTGGTGAAACGAAGATGGGGTGGCTGGTCGTGGTCCCGCCGCCTCCGACCAAAAAGAAAACGCAAGCGGACGACAAGTTTTTCGTGGTCGTGAAGGAGTCAGACATGTTCTGTTGGCAGTGTCTCGCCGACATGACTGATGTCGAGAAACTGTCGATCCTTGACAACATTCTCGCGCTAAGGGGAGTGTTCGTGCAGTCCGCGGACGGCCATCTGAAGCGTCAGCATAAACCAGGAATTAAAGACATGGTCGCTACGAGGAAAGTGGACCGTATGATGCTCCGTATGTTCCACTATATCTTATTCCTTGAAACGGAGGAGGACGAACGTGTTTGGCGTCACGGGAGCCCTTTTTTTCGGACCGAGGGGAAGCTTCTGGAGGAGTTCGGGCCGCAGGGCCTCACGAAACAGGTGTGGGTCGAAATGCGAAAGCATTTCCAGAGCGCGGTGGAGTACGTGAACACTTGCAAACATACTCTTCCGCACAAGAAGGAGTCCATCGACGACGCGAAGAGATTGTACGATGATGACAGGTTCCCTAAATTTTTCGAAAAGTCTGTCCGTTCCATCTTGCGACGGACGGAAGAAGACGTTCGAGACACGATCAGGGTCGGCGGGGATGTGAGGCACATCAAATGGCCCGACCTCAACCGGGTGACCAGCCTTATTCCTTTCGCTTTCCCGCCTTCCCAAGCTCAGAGTCATGTCACTGCGATCCGTGAGGTTGTGCGACATTACGTGTGCAACTTATACGTCCTCGATTTGTGTGATCCCACACTTCTCACAGACTGGCGAGAAGACGATTTTGCCAACTTGCAAGGCCTTCTACAAACACTTTCGCCAACGCACTGGCACTTGTGATATTTTTCCCCTCTCGTTGGGAGCTCAGTTTCTTGAAAGGCATGGTCAGGCTTAGCGTCCATCACATCAGGACAGGGAAGTGGGTACGTAATGCACAAAAGCAGGTCACTGTCCGGGAAGGCAATATGCTGGTTGAGGAGTGTGACCGCCGTGATATTTAATGGCGAGAAGCTGGACGACAACACATACGCAGTCTACCCGGCCAGTAGCCCAACAAAAGGTCCAAGTCCAGCCAAACACACGCTGGTGGCCAGCTCGAAACCTGTGTGTTCGTCGGACCCATCAGGAGAGGCTGTGGCGTGTTTCGACGTGGCGGAAGAGGAAAGGTTCTCTCGTAGCATGTGGGAGGACAGCGGCGTGACAAGTTCTCAAGGACCTGCTTACGGGGAGATGGAGCGGAACCCGTCCCGTCTACTTGGTCTACTCGAAAACTTTTGCAAAGCTGGGCAAACTGTTTTTTTCTTTGGGAAGGCGCATGCGTCTGTCGTGTGGGGACTCCTCCGCACCGGTCGGAACGTCGTCGCGTTGGAGAAGGAGGCCAGGATGATCGACTACCTTCACGAGTTCGTGAAGACACGCGTTGCAGACACTCGCAATGCTTGCGAGTTTGCCCGCACCACCGGCGAACGAAACTGGGATCCCAAACGTGACATGTATTGGAAATTGCCGGGGAACAAAATGACGGACGTTTGGGACTTCCTTTTTGGACCCTGACCGCCTAGTCCGACCGATCTCGAATACAGTCGACGGAGAAACCTGGTGTTCGCTGTGCTCAATGGGTACCACGGTTCACCCAGGGAGTCTCTCTCGCACTTCCTGAGAAGGCTGGAGCACGTTTACTTCACGCTGGCCGAACCGCTCACTCTCGAAAACTACAAGTCACAGTTTGACGAGGAGGACCCTTTTGACACTGAAGACATGGAGGAGCTGAGCGACTTCGAAACCTTCGATTTCGAGTCCATGCCACTTCCTCGGGTGGTTGGACAGGTTGGTGATGAAGAGGAAGGTGGCCCTCGGAGATATAGCACGTCCCCTGTCGGTTTGAAGCGTGTGTTTGGGCGTGAAAGAGTCGACGACCAATCGTCTGATGACGAAGAGGAAGTGAGAGACTATGATCACGAACCTTGTGACAGGCTCCCTGTGGACCGTGACACCTGGCAGAATGACAGACTTTACTTCTTCGGCAAGCATCACCGGTTCACGTCGGAGGATGTCTGGGGACACAACGTCGTCTGGCACCCGAGGATATTCCAACCTGCTGTGAGGAATGGAATATGGGTCATGGCAATAAAGGAGGCCGATGGCAAGTGGAGTGGACTGAAGAGACTGGGAGCGGGTGCATTTAAGAGAAAGGCAAGAACTGCTCTGGTGTAGCATTTGAGTCTCATGAACCTCAAGAGGAACGATCCGGACGTCGATGCGTATGCACAACAAAAGCTACATGAGTTGTACACCAACAACATGTTGGAGTTTCGAGGGCCTTTCTACGCGCTCGAAACGGCACCGTCTCGTGGCATTGACTGGCGCATGCCGCAACCTCCGCCGGCCGGTCAGCATCCGGGAGGGGGTGGTGGAGGAGACGAAGGAGACGGCGGAGGTGGCGGAGGAGACGGTTCACAGTTTGCCGGAAAGGGGACGGGCGAGACATCGTCGGTAGAGAAGGCGTCCAGCGGAAAGGGGTCAGGCGGAAAGGGGTCGGGCAGGAAGGGGTCGGGCGGGAAGGGGTCGGGCGAAAAGCGTCGAACGTCCGGGAGTCCCCAGTATATGGAAACTGACCCCCACGGCGTAGGGAGTCGAGATTCCGACATGCGAGACGAGGTCACCCTGACGTCCGATCAAGTGCGAGTAGATTCGCACTTGTCTGCGAGGAGTTTGTTTCCCGTTGCCTAGGAGAGTCCATCCCGCCGTGCGCAGCAGAGGTCTCCTGTGCTCAACACCTTGCTCCTATAAGAGGGCGCGTCTTCGTTTTGCCTGGAGGGCGGGATGCCTGCATTGCGAAGGAGCGAAGGTGCGACCTCCGGTTCCCTCGGCTCGGGCGACCGCCAAAAATTCCAAATACATTCGGATTTGTTGTCGTCGCCCTCCGCCATAAGTGTTCCTCACGCAACAGTTCTGCGGGGCCAAGAAAATGTGACGTCCTGGCCCCCGCATCTTCAGTTGGACAGAGGGTTACCCTGCTCGCCTCCCTTCTCATGTGTTGAGACTCGAGACTGGAGGTCTCGCGACGTGCTGGAGGGGCCCGCTCCAGGAGTGTTGGAGACCGGGGGTAGCGAGATCGAACGTCACACTCCTGGGGAAGACGAGCGCTCTCCGGGAACGCGTGCTGTACATCGGGAAGAGGAGACTCAACGCTGGCAGTATCGCAAAGTGTTAAAGACCGGGGGTAGCGAGTGTGAACGTCATGCTTCGGAGGGTGCGTTTGTGGACACTGACAGCGAGAGTGCAGGAGCTTCGGGGGAAACACATGTTGTACAGCGAGGAGAGGACACTCGACACAGGCCGGCTCATGAAGACGTGAAGTGGCTCCACGCACGAGTGCTGATGATCGGGACGTCCGAAGACGTTCTACACAGTCGCTCGGTTGTGGCCACGAAGCGAGAGGGTGTCGTTAAGGGAGGTCCGTGGACATCCGTGCAAGCTCCCGTTCTTGGCGACGATGAAGACGAAGAAGAACCCGCAGTAGAAGCTCGGGTTCATGGCGATGAGAAAGGCGGAGAACCCGTGGTGGAAGGCCGTGAGGTGAATGTCGACATCCGGACGGATCCACAGCGGAAAGATGGTGATTCTTCGCCCATCCATTGCGGTGAAGAACAGGGTGGTCGAGCATCTGTCGTGAGCACTGCTTAGGGAATGGTGCTTCATGAAGCCATAGAGTTGGGTGACGACTCGGCAGCCACCGAGCTGGTTAGCGACTCAGGCGTGGCCGAGATGCAGAACATCCGGACGGATCCACAGCGGAAAGATGGTGATTCTTCGCCCACCCATTGCGGTGAAGAACAGGGTGGTCGAGCGTCAGTCGTGAGCACCGCTCGGGGAATAGTGCTTCATGAAGCCATAGAGTTGGGTGAGGACTCGACAACCACCGAGCTGGTTAGCGACTCAGGCGTGGCCGAGATGCTGAACGTCGAATCCTCCGTGGAAGGCGGTGAGGTGGCCATCAGCATCAAGATGGATCCACAACGGAAAGATCATGATTCTCCGTCCACCCGTTGCGGTGCTGAACAGGATGATCGAGCATATGTCCTCAGTACCGGTTGGGAAATGGTGCTTCATGAAGCCATCGACTTGCCAAGCGACTCAGCTGCCACCGAGCTAGTTAGCGACACAGCCGTGGCCAAGGTCCAGAACCTCGAATCGTCCGTGGACGTTGGCACAGTGGCGCGACAGGAGGGCGAGTTCCCTCAAAGGGCTCTCGAGCACGGTTAGATTTGTGAATAGGACCACTCGCATATCTGTCACTGGCCAGCTCTGTGTTCGTCCAAATTGATGTCATGGGCTAATGTACCTGTTACCACTAGTTAAAAAAAAGCTAATGGGTTGTTGGTTGTTTTCTATGTTCTACAGGTGTGAGGTTGTTAATGTCCCTGCCCATGAAGCCTTTAAAAGTCGTGCGCGAGAAACGTCGTTCAGGGAGGTCATTGGCCGCTTCACCGAAGAAGTCGTAAAGTATAGGGTTGTTTAAAAGGGTCCAGATGCCTCGCCTTTCCCAGAGAGCTGTCAGGGTTCTGAAGGCTTGTGGAATAGATAAGGAGGAAGGTCTGCGGAAATATTTGGCTGCGTCTAATGAGAGCGTTACTGTTTTGTCTGACGGGTGTGATGACGATGGCAAACGGGGTGTCTTGAAAGACCCGTGTCCTAAGTACATCGCGAAGGACACATTCAACAAGCGGGGATACAACTTTTCTGGGAAAAGGGCAGACAGTTCTTAGCCATTCCACCACGGGGTTTGTGATCAGTCCTCACACTTGTTCGTGGGTGTTTGTGCAGCTGGGGCTACATCATGTTTTCGTGTTCCGTTGCCTACTGAGGAGCTTAGCGCTACGGACTTGAGAATGTTGCGGGACGTCTGTGGAGATTACAGCAACGGCCACGAGGTGGTGTGCTCTGTTCGCAAAGGGGTCAGTTCAATTCCGTTGAGCAGAAAAAGTCTTCAAACTCTTGTTCAGGGGGAATGGCTTTCCGACGAGGTGGTGGAGTCGTACTTGGCCTTGCTTGCCAATGCTGTGTTGCCTGGGTGTCCCTCTTTTTATATTTTCAGTCCATTTTTCTATACCAAGCTCGTCCGTGGCGGCTATCGACATGATAGGGTTGCGAGATGGAGAAAAGATGTGGATATTTTCTCGCCCGAGATGGTCTTGATTCTTGTCCATAAACATGGAGTGCATTGGACCCTATTGTGTCTCCGAGAACAACGGCTAGAGTACTACGACTCCCTGGTACAAGACGATGGCGGTTTTTCTTCCGATGTGATTGCTAACTTCACGCAATACCTCCGTGACGAAGCAGTTTGTCATTATGGTCCAAAAACGAAAGTGGATCTCCAGGAGCCCAAGGTGGTTGTTCGTGGTGTCCCTCAACAATCGGACGGGTCGAGCTACGGTGTTTTCATGCTCGCCTTCGCTTCATTTCTTGCACGCGGCTGTCTGCCACCATTTGCGATAGCCCAAAGCGACATTCCAAACATCCGGCTGAGGATTGCGGTGGACATACTCCAAGGCGCTGAATGATACCACTGTTGTCAAATTACGCGTAGTTTTTTTTTCGAAATGCCATAAGCAAAAGTGCGAATCTATTCCTACTTGATCTAGCAGCCAGCCGGTTCAAGTTGTGTTGTTGTTTTCATGAGGTGTCTGATTGCAGTGGACGTTGTGGTCAAGTACAGGCTTAGGTGTCGATGTGAATATCCCAGCCTCGTGCTGTATCAATTTTTTAAGGGTTCTTCATTTCGTGGAACCTGTCATCTTTACTCGTAGGACTTTCGRSAGYGYYGTGCTTCCTTTGTTTGYTTTCGGGTTGTTCTCATTGCTTGCCGCGCAACATCAGCTAGAGGGTAGCAGCGGACGCTTACGTGAAGTAGAAGCTCAGATGCCGATGTAAATATCCCAGCCACGTGGTACAATTCCTTTCAAGTAGACGCTTATATATCGGATGTGAATATCCCAACTTTGTGCTCCTTTTGTTTATTTTCGGGTTGTTCTCCTTATGTCCTCTCAGACTGCGGCAGCACCGTGCTGCGTTTGTTCGTTTCGAGGTTGTGCTCCTCTTTTACTCATGTGAAAGATATCGACGATTTATTCTTGGTCGCCAAATTGTTTCGTGCTTATCTCTTTCGTTCGCGAGACTTTGTAGTGTGAAAGCCCCTCTCTCCCGCCCCACCCCGACCAACCAGCTTTGATATTTTTGGCTCGCCCTTGTTCTGCGTGTGCCGCCCCGTTTTACGTTTCACCCCCTCTACTTGTCTCGATTGAATACTGTTTGTTGGTTCCTTATGACAGTTGCGAACTTGTTCTCCAATCGGAAACCAATTGTCGCCAGAATGTATGTGTGCTTGAAGTTGTTTTACGGATTCAGCGGTGCACTGAATGATCACCAATTTTGTTATCCCCGGAATACATCTCGTGCTCTCCACGGAATGCTGGTTGTTGTTTCCGTATGAGAAATGCGAACATATTCGCACTTCGGATGCCGTACATTTGTGATTGAACTGTTGGTTTCATATGAGAAATGAGAACATATTCGCACTTTGGCTCCATGTACTTTGTGATATTTGGAAAGTCTCCGTGCACTTTGCAATGTGGGATTGTATGATATTTTGCATTCAATGACTTTTTGAAACGTCTCTGTGTGCTTTGCAATTTGCCCTCGAATGAATTTTCTGCATGGAATGGTTTTCGGTACCTGTTCGTGTGCTGTGAGACTTCACCTTTGGAAAAACACTAGGCAACTTGAGATGTTTTCACCTCGATGTTTGCGATGTCTCTGTGTGCTTTGCAATTTGACTTGTGTTTGAAGTTGTTTAACGGATTCAGCGGTGCACTAAATGATTGCCAATTTTTTTATCCTCGGAATACATCTCGTGCTCTCCCTTGGATGCTGGTTGTTGTTTTCGTATGAGAAATGCGAACATATTCACACTTCGGATGCCGTACATTTGTGATTGAACTGTTGGTTCCATATGGGAAATGAGAACATATTCGCACTTTGGCTCCATGTACTTTGTGATTTTTGGAAAGCCTCCGTGCACTTTGCAATGTGGGATTGTATGATATTTTGCATTCAATTTGTAAAGTCTTTGTGCTTTGCAATTTGCCCTTGAATGAATTTTCTGCATAGAATGGTTTCTGGAAACTGGTCGTCTGCTCTGAGACTTCACCTTTGGAAAAACAGTGCGCAACTTGAGATGTTTTCACCTCGATGTTTGCGATGTCTCTGTGTGCTTTGCAATTTGACTTGAGATGTTTTCATCTTGATGTTTGTGATAACAAGAGATACTTGTATAAATGGATATGAATCTTTTACACAAAAAGATTTGATTGCGTTTTCAACCTGTGATATAGAAATGACAAGCTAATGTTTATATTAAATCGCCGCGCTGATGGACTGCGCAACTGCTTCTCCATCAAAGTGCGAGTTCAATCGCACTTCTGGTGTGAGCCCTGAGCAATTCCCTCGCACTTTGCTTCATGTCGAGGAGGGGATCGAACGCACCGCCGGTAAGCACCTGCACATCACGTAATAAGAGCACGTCCCAATTGGAACATCGTCGGGTCCTCACCTCATCGACTCTCAAGATGACTACAGCCAACAGCGGTAGGATGGCAGGTCCGCCTATCCGATGTGGATCTCACGGTGGAGTGCGGAACTCTGCTCTCAAAGATCCAAACCGGGTAGAAGGTCCTACAAGAAGCCGCTGCTTGCTTGTAAGGCATCTTATGATGTGTCGATATAACTTACATCTTGAACTGCTTGGTGAGCATCTAGTGCTACGCCAATAAGTTCCAAACACGGCAACAAGGTCCCCTAAGAGTGTTCTTTGCCGGGTCCTCAGCACATCGACTCTGAAGATGACTACAGCCAACAGTGGTAGGATGGCAGGTCCGCCTACCCGATGTGGATCTCACGGTGGAGTGCGAAACTCTGCTCTCAAAGATCCGCACCTGATACAAGGTTCTGCAAGCAGCCGGAGCTTGCTTGTAAGGCATCTTATGATGTGTCGATATGACAGACATCCAAAACTGCTTAGTGAGCATCTAGTGCTACACCAATATGTTCCAAACACGTCCCCTTACAGTGTTCTTTGTCGGGTTCTCACCTCATCGACTCCCTCAAGATGACTACAGCTGACATCGGTAGGATGGCAGGTCCACCTATCCGATGTGGATCTCACGGTGGAGTGCGAAACTCTGCTCTCAAAGATCCACACCGGGTAGAAGGTCCTGCAAGTAACCGCTGCTTGCTTGTTAGGCATCTTATGATTTATCGATATAACCGACATCCAGAACTGTTTGGTGAGCATCTAGTGCTACGCCAATAAGTTCCAAAAACACGCCAGCAAAATCCACTGAGAGTTTTCTTTGCCGGGTCCTCACCTCATCGACTACCTCAAGATGACTACAGCTAACAGCGGTTGGATGGCAGGTCCACCTATCTAACGTGGATCGCACGGTGGAGTGCGAAACTCTGCTCTCAAAGATCCATACCGGGTAGAAGGTCCTGCAAGCAGCCGCTGCTTGCTTGTAAGGCATCTTATGATGTGTCGATATAAACGACATCCAGAACTGCTTGGTGAGCATCTAGTGCTACGCCAATATGTTCTGAATATGACCGTAAGGTCCCCTAAGAATGCTTTTGGCACTGGAGTCCTCTGACCGCCAACTGTTTGGCACTTCGTGAAGGTTGACACTTCTTGAAGGTGGTCTACAACTTCTTAAAGGTGGTCAGTCACCAAACAGATCACGACCTGACATCAACCTCGATAACTGTGAATTGACTCGCTGTTCAACTAGAGTCTCTCTCTCTCTCTCTCTCTCTCTCTCTCTCCTCTCTCTCTCTCTCTCTCTCTCTCTCT